AATTTCTATAATAAAGCTCTAAAAGATAGTGGCTACAAAAGCCCAAAACTAACATAAAAAATGAAAAATTAACCTCTTTTGGAAAGTAACTCATATTTTGATACAATAGTTGTCAGTGAAAATGAATGCCCTCCCACCCCTTGACTGAATTTCCCCGTATCCATAGAAACTAATATTATGAATGTATGCGCTTATAAAACTCAATAAATTTCAAAATAAGTTATTCCAAAATTCGCTTGAAAATGAACCAGAACTAGGGACTTTAATTTAATTCTATAATTGAATTTGAAGTTTTTAGTTCCTGTTTTTGAAACATGGTAGTTCCTGTGTAGCGATGGTACCATATTTTTAAATTAGCAAATTTATAATATTTATGCTCTGTAGATTTGGATAAAATAAAAATAATTAATAAGAACACTGGATTATATAACATACTGTTCTTACACTTTATAATATAATATAATATATATATATATATATATATATATATATATATATATATATATATATATATATATATATCAATTATTTATCAATTAAAAAAAACGAAACAGAACTTCCGTAGGAAAAAAACAAACAAATAAACAAAACAAAACAACAAGAACAAAAAACAAACAAACAAAAACAAAAGCAAACTAGAACGTCCAGATATTAAAATTGTTGGTATGTCTAGAGATTGGAAAAATTCGCCATATAGGGCAACTCTCGAAAGAAAAGAAGAAAAAAAGGGAAAAGCAAAACAATTATGAGAAAATGCTAAAGAGCGAGTGTAAAGTGAAAAAAAAAAAAAAAAACCCGGAGAAAAGGCCCAATGATCCCGAAGCATCTCACGTACGCACATCCGCGAAGAAGGGCGCTCGATTGTGAACGCACATCCGCGAAGAAGGGCGCTCGATTGTGAACGCACATCCACAGAGACGGGCGTATGGCTGCAGGCGCACAAACGCACACGCGAACACAAAAAATACGGAAAAAGTTAACACCAATGATAAACGTGTAAAAAGGAAAAAATCGAAAAGTATAAGCAGTCAATTTCTGATATCTCCTGAAGAGTGGACGGACATGTCCACATACGAAACTCTGGATTCGGGATGCTGAAGGTAACATCAATCAGCTAAGTGACAAACATTTACTCATATTGATCATATATATATATATATGTATATGTGTGTGTGTGTGTGTATAAAGATACTTAAATAAGAGCATATAAAAGTTTACACACGTTAAAGTATTCATGCGTGATATTACAGTACTCTCTCTCTCGATATATATATATATATCTATATATATCATCACAATGTAGTGGAAGTGAAACATTGTAATTAATTTCAGACACGAGCCGCGTAATATTTTTCCCCGCTCATCAAAATGTCAAGAAGAGATTGAATAAAGAAAGATTAAAATAATAAATGACAAAGAAAAGAAAAGATTTATAAAAATCAAGTTTGTTTTCTTCAGCTTCAATGGAACACTGGCCAGGCGTTGAAAAGAAAAGAAGTTGTTGTTCGGTGATCAACAGGAAAACTGGAATTAGTTTTGACTTCACGCTTTATTTTCTGACTTTTCTGCTATCGACCAGTCGAAAAACGTAATCTTGTTATCTGTGAACAGAATTAACACGCCTCGTCTGGATTCGCAGTTGTTTGTCTGTATGTTTTCATAAACTCATCCGTTCATATCTGTCTGTCGATCTATCTTTCCTTCTATATATCTTTTGATTTATCTATCGAACTATCTAAGTATTTTATACTATGTCAGATTTTATTATGCAAATGAAATCTTTAAGCAAAAAGCTTTTATTGACTAAAAGATGTTGCTAAAAACTTTAGAAGATATACACTGACGTGCCAAAAGTCATGTGATAAGTGCCTAGTACCGTGTGTGCCTTTCTCTTGCCTGGAAAGTTAAAAAAACTTGATGAGGCATCGATTTTCCCAATGGTCGGAAGACCTCTGCAGAGATGTTGAGTCATACTGTTTCGATAGTTGCCCACCGCTCCTTAAGATTTGCAGGTGCAGAATCTTTTGTTCTAACCCCCCACCAAAAAAAAAAAAACAAAACAAACTCTCAATCGCATACTCACTTGTACTCGTGCGAATGTGGTAGCCACGCCATTCAACGATAACCCAAGTTAACTTTTGGCAACTTAAGTGCATTATCTTGGTCGAATAATCGTTCATTGTTCGAGTACATGGAGTCGAGTACATGGAGTTCGAGTACAATGGGTGCAAATGACACTGAGAAAATAATCATAATATATACAAACACTATTAACTTATTAACTTATTAAATCTCTCTATGAAATGAAGTTAAAAAAACAAAAAAAAAACATGCACACAGCATTTATCTACAATAATGTACTAAACGTCATGAGATATGTGTCTAGTAGGGCCTCCCTACCCAGAAAAGTACAGTAACATCTGTCTATATTGGCAGAGATGAGGTATTCTAACTATTTATACTATTTACTAGTTCTATTTACTAATTCTATTTATTAGTTCTCCTCATTTTTGTTGTCATATTCACGACGTTTCGTTTTTAGAGAAAAAATAACAACAAAAATTGCAATATGCGCTCTTGTAAAAAAAAAAAATGGTTACTGTGAAATTAGTTTTATAAGACCAAGAATTAATTCAATAACATCTCCAAGGACGAATGGCCCAGTGGAACTAGAACGGTGGACGAAATAAAAGGTTCGGTTCGAAATTTCAACGTATATCAGCTGAAGAAGGCCGAGGCGTACAATGGTCGAAACGTTGTGAATATGTTAATAAAGATGAGGACAACAGTCCGATCATTGGAAATGCTGTAAAAAGCTACAAGTTGACATGTTATTGATTTTATAAGTGGTCAGAATATCTTAGGAAAACTACTTAACTCCTGGATATTAGTATGTAAGTATAGGCCTTTTTTTGTGAAAATAGACCTCACCGCCACATCCTATAATATGTTTGGACCAATTTAGTGGCAAAAGCATTTGTCAGAAGTCTCCAGAATGTTCCGCAAGCTAAATCTGAGCAACATGGGCAACTGATGTCATGGTGCCTTATTCTGTTGGAATCAGCCATTGTTGTTGTTGGGGTAAATATAATCCATAAATTGGTGCAAATAGTTGCGGTTATCGGTCAATAAATGTCATAAGCTGACCAGGGGGCAAAACCAATGAGACGTGAACACAACTCACACCATTTTCGTACCATTGTCAACTTGTACGCTTCCTATATATAACAATAGACTAATTTGGTTTGTGCCACTCCCAAATCCTACTATACGTTGCCAGTCCTCCAAGCTTCAATTGATGACATAACGAGCCCTCATGAGTCACCGTGTCCGATCTGTTGTCCTGTTGTTAACAGGGGTTTTCTACTTTCATATATCTAAGCTAAATAATGCGGAATTGACCTTATAGATATGGATTTGGTAGCGTCTGCTTTGAACTTGGATGTGATCTAAGTTAGTGTCGCCTGTCTGTTGCCACAAATAATTCTAGCCCGACGTCTTTGCTCACAACCATTAAGGACTGGTTATCGGCCACTGTGCTATTCAGAGTGGGTGATTGTACTTTTCCATCGGGCATTCCTGATATTATCCTATCGTGTTCGTACGCTGAGAATTCACGTCGACTTACCGGGAGCAACCTAACCAGTTTTTACGCCGACTCATCATGCGAAAGCACCACTGATAGATGTCTGTGCATTTCCGCGACGACAAGGTACGGTAACACTATCTACAATTACCTGTACATAATACCATTCCATGAATTTTGGCTTATTTGTATAAGTATATCACGTTAATTTAAGTTTATAATGTCTGTTTTTATTAGAAATATTTACAATAAACTCTTGGTAGTTTGAGATATTATTATGCAAATAGAGATTTCATCATTTTCACACACATACACACACACACATATATATATATATATATATATATATATATATATAGTTAAGTAATGAAAATCTTGATAATCCGTATGAATAATCCCAAGGAGGATGAAATCCAGAGAGCTCAACGTTAAATTAGAGCGATTAATTCAATTAAAACGGACAACTTTTAGGGTCCATTGGTTACAATTTATTTCCCCAGAGAATTTCTTTTACCTGGATCATCAGCCAACACTTCTAAGGGTGAAAAAATGATTTTAAATTTACATATATTTTTTATACACTTTTAATGGGCAGTATTAAGTTGATGTAAGGTGAAATAGAGAGTGGGGAAAGATGGTGACAGACATGGACGAAATTAGAGAGGGAAGGAGAGATAGGAATGATTTTAAATTTATTTTTATTACAGTACTCAATAGTGAGGAGGGGGTGGTAAGGACCAGACATTGACCTATTTAATAGGTCATCTCACAGGAATCAATATATAGATGTAAGAAATAAGAAGTGGAATTAGGGTTTTAAGGAAAGAAAGGGGAATAGAGATTTTGAAAGGGAAATTAAGAGAATTAATGTATTTGGCTATAAAGCGGCTAATTTGGAAAAACTCAGATTTATATATTTTTCCGTTAACGTTCGATAGTAATTTAAGCGTTTCGGAATTGTTAATCGCAGAGCCGAGTTCTAATTGCCGTTAGGTTCATTATATTCACTTCAGCGCAAATACACTTGGGAGAGGGATGAATTCACTTCTATGGGTAAATTCGTAAAACTTGTATTACTAAACCATTATTATCCCCACCACAAATTTTTGCAATATAAAAATATTTCCTGGTTTTCATACCCTATGCAGGGTTGATGAGTCGTACAAAGCCAATCAATCAAATTCCTTTTAGTGGGTAAGAATTTTTTGGAACTAATAATGATATACTGTTACAAGTCTTACTAATTAGTAAAACTTGTATGACTTCATAGCTGGTGGGGGGGAAAAGTGGATTCATGCCTTTCCCAAGAACATTTGGGTATTAAGTTAATATAACAAACATGATTGGAATTGGTATTCGGCTCTCCGTTTTCCAATTCTGGGCCGTTAGCCATTACACCATCCACACATCCAAGCTTACAGCACCTGATATTTCCAAGCGGTCACTTACCCATCTACTGACCAGGCTCAACGCTACTTAACTTCGGTGATCGTGTGAGAACCGGTGTTTAAACCTGATATAGCCGTAAGCCAGAGCTTCGTTGCAAGCACTGAAACAACTGTATACTCGAATCAAGTGGATCTAGTGATGTTGTTCATCACGTTTAGAATGGTGGACATCAACGTGTTTTTTGGCATTATGAAGCTGCTGGTTGGTCTCCTTCCCAACAAAGTCCAGGATGTTGTAGTCTATGGGATCCGAATTAGAAAACCTCATAGTATACATGCTGGAGATTACATGATCATGAGCAGGTGAGTCATGTGAGATTAGAGTAGAGTTCTGCTGAAACACATACGGCCTTCTATGGATCACGATACAGGGTTTGACCAAAGGATGCAGCAACTATGTAAACTGTGACGTTGATTCTGAAACCCTGCACACGGCCCCTGAAACTATCACAATTGACGTGAAGGTCTGATCAAAGTCCTCATATAGTAGAGGTATTCTCTACTATATGAGGACTTTGATCAGACCCCACCTCTCAAGGTGCTTGAGACTATCCTCTTGAATTATATCGGACATTAACTTATGTTTCCTTATCACGTTGGACAAGGACTTGATTTTCTCGTGCACCACACATCTGATACTGGACGTTATCGTTTCGAGCTGCTTGACGATATACTGTTTCTTTTTTTTTGTCAAAGATGACACATTATAATCATAACAGACCGCGTCATATTCAAAACATCTGTTATCCTCAAGTTGTTATAGTTACTGACAAGATTTGGTTTTCTATGTGTGTTAATGCCCTCGATATGTCTGAAAGAGAAATGAGAATGTCCAATTATCGCACTTTTCTACCATTTCTGGTCCGTTAAATGTAGGTTCCTCAAATACCTAGCGTTCCATATATATATATATATATATATATATATATATATATATATATATATATATATATATATATATATATGTTTTTTTTACGTTATTTTTATAGATATAATTTATTTAAGGAAATGCTCTGTTTTTTAATTAAACAGTATTAATTATATTTACCGGCCTGAATATTCGAGAAATTTCGTAGAAAATATGCCTTTTTCCGATAGAAATTGAACCTGTAACTCTTATGGGGAACACATTATTTGATCTGACGTGCTGTTGACAATTCAGCTACAAAAAGCATCTGGTTTGCAAAGTTCGAATTACTGATTATAAATTCGAATTTTTCAAACCAGACGCTTCATTCTCTTTCACTCCCATTAACCTCTTGCGTATTAGTGCCATTTTCGCCTTGTTTGCGGTGAAATGATAAAAAAATGTAAATGTATTTTTTAATAATTACATCCCAAGCAAGGCGATAAATCCAATTAGACGCAAAAGGACGACTGAGAGATAAAGAAACTGAGAAAACATTGAAGAGAGAAAGAGAGAGAGAGAGAGAGAGAACATTAAAAACATTCTTCACTGATATATCGTCCGATCACTGAAGTTAAGCAACATCGAACCTGGTCAGTATCTAGATGTGTACTTGGAAATACTAGGTGCTATTTGCTAGGAATTGTTAATTGGAGAGGTGAGTTCCAATTCCAGTTGAGTTTATATTCACTTAGGTGCAAATACCTCTGGAAAAGGTATGAATCAACCTCTTCCCCCTCACAGCTATGGGTTAATTAGTAAAACTTGTATCACTAAACCATTATTATATCTTCCCCCCACAAAAAATTCTTACAATCTAAAAATATTTATAACATTTATTTGAAATAACATGCAACGGGTTGATAAGCTGTATAAAACGAATTAATCAATCAACCATTTTTAATAGTAACCTCTTTCCTTGAATAGCTCTTGAACCTTGAATTTTATTTAGAAATAATAAGATTATTATATCCCAATCCATTAAGAATATTTTTAATATGATTCGTAATGTTTTCAAAACTGAGTTACACGAGCTTACATAGTTTTGTCAATAAAGTGAAATAGGTGTTACTGTGATCTTAAAATTTACGAAGAATTTTTCTTATATTTCTAAATGTCAGAATTTCATATTGTATCTTTGGAAATGAAACAGATCCAAGATACAAGGTGGAAGTTTTGACCAGAAAATCCGACCAGAAAGCATAATATTACCCAGATGAGAATATTTACATAGACAAAAAATTGCCTTTTCACATGATCATCTTTTGCGAAGAAATGAAATGGTCTTAACGAAGGAAAAGAAAATGGCATCATAGCCAAGTCTACATTCTATCTAACATTAATTATGAGCAGACACTTCCTACGATATTGAAAGAAGAAAGGAAAAGAGAGTGTCTAGAAAAAAAAAAAAAAAAAAAAGAAAGAAACCTAATATATATTCATCTCATGTGAAGCAGTACAAAGAACTAATATTATTTGTGAAAATATTCTGGTTGGGTCAGACACTTCGGGATAAGGACGAGATTCTCGCTTAATTTGATTATGTTTCTCTGAAGAAATTGTGTCGTTGGGTTTGAAAAGGAAAAAGGGTAACGAAGAAACAAACGGTAACATACTAAAGTTACAAGTCTTTCAAAAACTAATCAAGACCAATGTAATTAAAATCAACCAATCAATAAATAAGTTAATAATTGAATTAATGTAATAATATACATTTCTATCTATGAAGTAATTTAAACTTCTTTATAGTGACCATTTCTTTCAACTCTATAAATATCTATCTATCTATCTATCTATCTATCTATCTATCTATCTATCTATCTATCTTAAACTCTTCAGTTCTAAAACAATTGGCTTTTTCTCCTTGTCAGTCTCTCCTTATCGTAATCGGTCATATCACACAACTGTTTTTCATAGCTTCTTCAGCCATATATATATATATATATATATATATATATATATATATATATATATATATATATATATATATATATATATACATAGGGGCATCAATAAATACGAAGTCTGATGATAAAAAGCATTTATTTTTCACAGAAAATCATGTATTATTCCATCTAGCTCTCTTCCTTAATTTAATAGGAAAATTTTAAAGTGCAAAATTCAGATCTTAATTCACTTTATAACTTCGTATCATTCCTTAGAATTATTTGCCCCGACAATTCGCTATAAAGCCGACTTCTTTTACTGTTCAAGACTTAAAAGTCTTACCATTTTGTAAACTGTAAATATAGTTATCATTTGTATTATACTAAACTGTAAATATCGTTGCTTCAAATATCTGTTTTGCGAATAATTCCATAGTAATTTTGTCGCTTGCATGACAAAAGATTTTTAGGCAGATGTAATAATGAATTTTGAAAATTAAGCCACTATTTCAATGCCATTGATAAATTCCTTAAAATCTCAAAAGAGGAAGAACAAAATGTAAAGATGAATTCTCAGTGAAGAGAAGAGATACTATGAATTAAACATTGAAGGGAAATGAAGTTGTCATAGTGAAAAAAAGAAAAAAAATTGAAAGAGGTGTGAATAAAGAAAGAATGAACAAAGAGAAGAATTTGAAGTTTGAGATAATAAAAGCGAATAGAAGAAGAGAGAGAGAGAGAGAATAGTAAAGGATAAAAGGAAAATGAAAGGCGCACATATTTGTATGAATATTCAATAAATTATCCAACCTTTCTTTAATTATTTGTCTAGAGTTTGGCTGAATATCTTGTACAAATGGAATGCAAAAAAAGAAAAGAAAAAGAAAAAAAGGTAAGTAACTAAGCTATATCGATAAATCAATTTTGAAGTTAATGAAGTTAACTTACAGACTGACTTTTCTTCAGTTTTATCTTCTTGTTTAAAGACTTAAAAAATTGTATAATAAATATGGCGCTTCAGCATAGAATAGAGCTAGCCATTATATAAGGATTATCTACCATTTGAAACTCTGTTACTATATTTGATTTCGCTTATTCGTTCGTGAATTCATTCATTTTTGTACTGGTAGTAGTTTTAGGTATATATCTTTTGCAGGGGCATAAATACGAAACGAGTTAAGATGGCGATTTCAAAACATAAAATATCACGTTTATTTATTAATTTTACTTTGTTGACTAACTCCCTTAAAGCCGTCCTTGCTCATTGTATCCAAAGAATTCTTTCTGTTGTCATTTCCTTTAAGACTTTAAGACGTCGGTGCTTACTCGTCCCATTCATTGAATTTTTACTATCCTTCTGTAGAAACATATTTCTATTGCATCTAGGTTTTTGTGAGGGAATTGTCCCTCATTCACTTCTATATAAGAGGATTGATATCACATAGCAAAACAGTACTCTTTTCTTTGTTTCTAACGAAATTTCTCGCTTCTCAGCAACTTGATTAACTTTTGAAATCCTTCTTTCCCTTCATCAGTTCTGCATTTTCTATCCTCTGTTAAAACATTTCCCAGATTTAAAATTCTGCACCTGCTTGATGTTTATATCTCCAAATTGTAACTAGCATTTTAGACTCTTTTTCTTTCTGATGGCCATATTTTATGTCTTTTGCAGTCGGTGTTTAATCCGTTTTCCTTACTTTCTTCACCTACCCCCTGTCTAGGAGGTCCTGTAGTTTCCTTTCACAGAGTTGGCCATCAACACAGTGTCATCTGCGTACCTTATACTGTTAAGATTACGCCCACCGAAAATAACCCTGGGAGGGTCTCCAGTTCCCTTAGGATAGCGTCACTGTAGAGGGTGAATAAATCTGGGGAGAAGACACATCCTTGTCTTACGCCCTTTTCTATTTTTGTAAAGCTACTCAGTTCATTTTCGATCCGTAGTTTCCTTCCAGTATAAGTTTTGGATTATTCTAATTTTTTCCAAATCAATCTAGTTTTCCTAGCCGTTCAAATACATCCTTGAGCCTTACCTTGTCAAATGTTTTGCGTAAAACGTAAGTGCACGTCCAGTGTTCTCATATTTGATGTTATTATAACATCCTTTCGACCGTTGTGCCATCTAGCCTTCTTCAGGCACCTGCTAACTCGGGTAACCTAGAGTAAATTTCAAATCGGACGCTTTATTTAATCTATAAAAGTAGAGTGTTTGCTATGTCCTTTTGAATATTATATTATTTTGCTTTTAGCGTTTGTTATCCGCTATCTAGCGATTCACGTGTAGTTC